ACCACCTTACAACTAATTTTCTCTGTACCTTTATGAGCATCTAAGTGTTCAGATACAATTGCATTAGCATTGCCTGCTGCTAATATAGCGGTACTACCATTCTTCTGATTGTCCAGCACTAAACCACTTCTACAATTCTTGTGAACTTCATCTGGATGCTTCCATTTTGGATGCAGTTTCTGTTCATCTCTTGAAAAGCTATCTCTGACAGTGAGAGCACTTAATTCTTTGATGGGTGAGACAAGACTTGAGGACGTTTGCAAGTCTGCTTGCACACATGCTGGATTTTCACTTCCCTGTAAGTCAGACTCTACAATCTGTGTCTCTGCTTCACCCCTACCTGCTCTGAGCTGACGTTCAGAACCCTGATTAGCGTTACAGGAGGTATTTTCTATGAGGAGTTGCTTCTCAGAAGCGGAAGAATGCCAACCACAGATATCTGAGGTTTCATTCTGGCTTTCACCTTCTGCTTCCCATTCCTCTCTCTGTTCAACTGTTTTAAATAGCTGCTCTAGCATTTTAAAGGCCCCTTGAAAAGCAGCAGCGTGTTGCTCATTAACACCATGGGCTGGCCCACAGAGAATGAGGCAATGAGGCTGAAAGGCACACGTGCTGGTGAAGCCAAGGTGAACGTATCTCTCTGAGCCGAGCAGCAAGGGCTGACAAAACGCTGCCACTGCAATTTCGGTGATTTCTCTATGCGTATCATCACAAGAAGGTGTAAAAGGCGAGATGCCCGTGATTTTGCGGAGAAGGGCGATCTCTTCTGACGACAAACACTCGACAACAGATACGCTGTACAGTTTTGCAAAATAGATAACTACTTCGTGTTGTTTCACGCTCGACAGCAGCAGCTTCACGTTGTTGCTCTGCAAGCGCCTCATCACGGCTTCCGTCCTCCTGGCGATCCAGCGCTGGCAGGCCTGAAACTGCTCCTCCGACTCGACGACCAGCTCGACGCCGGGGGCGGCCAGGCCGGCGTGGAGGGGTTCGGTGACCACGACGGCCGCCACCTCCC